ATACTGCATTCACACTCCTTCAGAACATACACTGAGAAAAAAAATTTCTAAGAAATAGAAATTCTATTATTGATCCAAATCGTTAATCGATTGAATAGTCACAAAAGAAAATGCGATTGTAAGACACAAATATCGATTTGAACTAAACCAAAATTGGATGGTATGGAATCGATTCTGTTATAGTATAGTATATTTTGTTTATTCTATCGAATTTAGAAAATACATGTTTTTGCGACAAAATCGATTTCATACAATTCAATTTTGGTTTAGTTTAAACGCTTCGGATGTGGCGCAAATAATTTTTTTTTCACAATTGCAATGGAAAAATAATTAGTTCAAATGATGAAGAATTGCGTTTGTCGTAAATAAGTAACTGCTCACCGCGAAAGTCTTGCATCAATGAATATGGAATAATATGTTCCTCATAGACCAAATGAGTATTTTATTGCATCTATGAATTCTGCTTTCAATCGAACAGATATTCTTTTGCGGGATAGCGTGCCGCTGATAAATTGGATAATTACATGCTTTATTCGAAGAAGATATCTGATAATGCAGACATTGATTTGTATGTACTGAAAAGTAGATAGTAACAAAAAAAAGTTTAGATAACTGATCTCATTTTCTTTCTATCGAAAACATTAAAGTTAAATTGATATTTGTGTCTTACAATAGCATTTTCTTTTGCGACTATTCAGTCGATCAACGATTTGAATCAATCATAGAATTTCTATTTCTTACAATTTTTTTTTCTCAGTGTAGGAGTAGCATGGGAAACTCTAGAAAATCCATGCCGGTACCAGGTGGTTACTCCATTAGCAATCTTCCGCTCGCCGGACTCTTCCGTTGAAAAATTCGGTTCCGTTGGGAATTGAACTCACAACCTTTCCCACACTAGACTTGCATCTAGCGCACTCGGCCACCGACGTCGGTATCATCATTAGTTTTTTGTCATTCCAGCCGTAAGGCAGCGCTTCACGGACGCTCACTCACACCGGCGGCGCGGCGCCGCTTTTCTGTCCGTTTGACGTTTTTTTTTCTTTTTTTTAGCGAAGTGAATTTGCCGGGAAAAAAACGGACAACACCAATGCTTGATAAACGGATTGAGCTAGGAACTATTAATTTTTTCAGAATTTTCAAGCGTCGAGAAACACGCTAAAATATGAAAAAACGGGCGGCGCCGCACTCATTGAGCAAGTGATTGACGCTTAAATAATGGCTCGTCAATTGGAACTAGGACATAAAAACAATTGATCACGTTTGAATTCATTCACGACGGATACAGAGCATTGTCATTCTTACAAATTCCACTCTTTCTCCGCTATATATCCGATATCAAAGATTTCTTGCCTTGAAAATTAGGAAACTTCAGGGCTGTAAACATACCGAAAACTGTTCTATATCTTCGTGAATTCGGTTTGGGTCGACGCTTGTGCGGACCATTGGCAGACGTCTAGAACGCGCGGTTTCAAGCAATCCAATATGGCCGTCCTGCTGATCAAGAAGTTATTGATTTTATTGTTTACATTTATCTGTTCCGAAACTTATGCTTTTCAGCAGAATAAACCTGCGGGTTTGAAATGCTGAAATAAACAAAAAACTTATGCTTTTTCACCCGTCACTAGACGGACTAGACGGACCCGTCACTAGCACGGGCGCTCTGTTTAGTATCTCACTTGTACTGCAGAGACGTCCGATAGGTTGACTAGCGTTGCGTGGGGGGAAATCTCGTGCGCGCCTACTGATGGTCAATATCGCAAAAAAATTTCGGGAGTATAACGAACAAAGTCATATACGGTTATGTGTACGAGACAAATGCTTTAAGTTTATGAACTATTGGATTCGAGATTGAAGGAAGTATACAGCTTTGAAGGACGCAAAACGTTGAATTTGATTTTTTCCAAAACAGTTTTCTCGAACAAATGATCGGAAACTAAGGTTGGTATTGCAGCTAAAAAATACACTTAGTCTATTCTATAAACTCTCAAGACGATTTCCCCTAGGGAAAAATGCTCGCACTACTCGGATATTCTTAAAGAATTCATATATTGGGTATTATGTTATACTCAGAGGCCAAAAACCTTCGAAAGAACAACTTGAAAAAGTTAGGGGTTACAATTGATGTTCCCGATCATCGTCATTGCTGTCAATTGAAGTGAAGGATTCAGGGGATTTGGCGAAAATACCAATAACGTTGATCAAATTATCGAAGGAAGTGACGTTTCGCTAAATTCGGAATTGTATGTAAAAAGATGAAAAACGATACATGACTGGAGAAGAAAAAATTAACATTGTATTAAGATACCTTTTTAGAGTTTTCGAAAAAAAATCAGCAAAAATATACCCTCAAAGTTTGCCAATTAATTTATCTGGAATTATCGCCTATTGTTTATCAATCAAGTGGTTTCAAGGAAACACCTTAGAATCGCTTCAAATTTGCTGTATCAAATGAATGAACAATTGATGAATTTGTTCCAAGATGGGCCGTACAATGGACTGGTTTATAAAAATTTCTATGAAATTAATTTTCCACACAGGTAAAATTGCTTGTGCCAATGTCTTAAGCGATCTATACGCAATGGGAGTGACAGAGTGTGACAATATGTTGATGCTACTTGGTGTGAGCACAAAGATGACCGAGAAAGAACGGGATGTGGTTGTGCCACTCATCATGAGGGGATTCAAGGACTCTGCTCTGGAGGCAGGGACCACCGTTACAGGTGGACAGACGGTTGTCAATCCCTGGTGCACCATTGGAGGTGTCGCCTCCACAGTTTGTCAGCCTAATGAGTATATTGTGTATGTATCCATCGAATTTTTTCAATTGTAGGATTGAATTTTATTCCTAGACTTACGCGTCTCAGAAATGCATATTTGAAGGAATGATTAGTTGGAAATTCTTGGAATCACTATCTGTTCTCTACTACCCTAATGTATATTTTATTCCTGAAGTAATTATTGATATTCACCTAAGCATTGTTTACAACCTCATAGACCAGATAATGCTGTTGTGGGCGACGTTTTGGTCCTCACGAAACCTTTGGGGACTCAGGTTGCAGTGAATGCACATCAATGGTTAGATCAACCAGACCGTTGGAACAGAATTAAGCTCGTCGTCAGTGAGGATGACGTCAGAAAGGCCTATCAACGAGCTATGGACAGTATGGCGAGACTCAACAGAATAGGTAACTTTAATTGTCAATTCCTTTTTCTTTCCAACTTATGTCAAATGTTTTAATACTCAACCATTTTATTCGTCTTGGCTCCGCCTCGGGCCGCCAACTTCACACTTGTAAAAATTTCGTCTTCGAGAAATTTTAGGAAAATGACTGCTGAATTTTAGAGCATGACCGGTACTTGGTGGATACTTCCTCAGTTCTGATTTCGACCAACCAGAATGCAGTATTCGGTGCCACGTGATATCTTCCCATCAATTTTATTTTAATTATTTTTCCTAATCGGATTTCGACTAATCAGAGCGTACTATTTGAGGCTACCCGACAGTTTCATTTTGGATTTTTCGCGTACGAAAAAATCTATAGGATTTCCTGTCAGATTTCCTATAGGAAATCCTATGGAGAATTCGAACATTTCCTATACGATATCCTATACGGTTTCCCATAGGATTTCCTATTGGGTTCTGATTTGGAGACTATGTGAATTACGATGGAGGTCATATGGGGGTCATATGGGAACATACAGGAATCATGTGTGTATCATATGGGCAGTTTATCAGTTCATATGAGGGTCATAAGATATACTTATTCCTATAGAATTTTCTATAAGATTTCCTATAGAAAAAATCCTACAAGACTTCCTATAAGGTTTTTTCTATACGATTTCCTATAGGATGCCGTACGGGGTTTCTTATAACCCCCATATGAATCGATGTACCATCCATATGATACCCCATATAACCCCCACACTGACAAGGAAAAGTCCCCAGGTGTACCTCACCGATTTTCTTCATTTTGACATATGTTATTCTACATGAAAAATGATTGACCACGTATTTTTCTTACGTGCTAATTCACTCATACAAGGCAGAAAATGGCGTTTGAAGTTCACTCCAAAAAATAATTTTTCACGATTTCTCGAAAACTACGCAATATTTTCTCAATTTTTTTTCTGCATTCAATTCCTTATTCGGAAGGGCGTTTATGGATATAGGGTTCATTTACACGGCTTGGCTTTTTGAATGATTTATCAAACAAAATTAGACTTTTTCATATATCTTTTCAGTGTAAAAAGTTTCAATTTGGCTGAATCTCTTTGAAAATTGGTGCCTTTGATAAAAAATCTAAGAAATGAATCGACGTGTTTCAGGGTTTCCGCCAGACCACCCTTTCAGGGGGAACCACCCCTTGGAATGATTTAACGTAGTCAACTCAAAGTTCTGCAAACTTGCATGATAATTCTACATAAAATATTCTGAATGATATTATCTAATCATTACTCATGATGTTTTAACTATTATCTAGCCAAAGTGCCCATATCGACAATTTTACTAGGCTATTTTTTTTCATTCTTCCTTGAAACTATCCATCCAAAATCAAGATAACTTTGACTTTTCATTTACACATAAGGACGAACTTCATATCACGCGATTGCAAACAATCAGGAAATGGAATTAATATATTATTGCTTTCAAATTATGAATTTCATCGTTAAGATCCTCAAATATCGTAATCATCCGTGCGGTGTGTCTTCATCGGTCGGCGACCTCTGGTCAATTTGAATTCACCGTTCATGTTTATGCAAGTATTTCAAATATTGAGAATGCATGAGAAGAAGAAGAATCGAGTTCCAATGCGTGAGTTTGTTTTTTATTGATTTTTTTTCCAATTCCCATATTATGAGTATAACACAAGAAAATTTCTTTTAATGACTGACATATTGACCCCCACCGATAGGACCATAAAAATGAAGTTTTTTTTTAATACACTATCGATACACATACGGGCTATAAGTAGTCTTACGATAACAAAAATACATACATTGCCGAGTTTTCGTGTCTATCAGGCCAGGCTAAATCGAAGTGGATTCTCATCATCACGAATACAATTGTGGCGTAGTGCAGTCAATAGAGAAGAATATATAGTTTGCTTGGTAAGTTCAGTTTATGATACATGTGGATCTTATAAGGCAAAAAGGAGCAAATTAGAACGGCGAGGATAAACAAGAAAAAAGGGGCAAAATGGCATTATCAAGCATTTATTTGAGCATTTTCACGACGTCATTATGTCATTAGTGTCCAAATGTAGCCACAGTAACCTGTGATACGATAAAGGGATCGGAAGATCTTTTACGACGATACATCGACAATCATCAGATAATGCCAGGTAGGGTTATTGAATAGAAAATATATATCATAATAATTTCAGATTATTCTTGTATGAAAAAGATGGGAATCAATCCCCTTAACGTTCTTCAATTGTTGTTGGTGACCTTCCAAAAATTGTCTTTGGAAAACACTCCAGTAACACAACAAGAGATAGAATTAAAAGGAAAACTGGAACAAATTCTCCTCGATGCCATGAATGAATTCAATGGTGTAGATATTGTTGAAGAGGAAACACTTGCATTCCAGGAGCCTTATAAGAATGTATCAATGGAAATAGTTTGATGATAATGACGATCAATGTTCAATTGATTCAGAAGGATACTGCATTCACACTCCTTCAGAACATACACTGAGAAAAAAAATTTCTAAGAAATAGAAATTCTATTATTGATCCAAATCGTTAATCGATTGAATAGTCACAAAAGAAAATGCGATTGTAAGACACAAATATCGATTTGAACTAAACCAAAATTGGATGGTATGGAATCGATTCTGTTATAGTATAGTATATTTTGTTTATTCTATCGAATTTAGAAAATACATGTTTTTGCGACAAAATCGATTTCATACAATTCAATTTTGGTTTAGTTTAAACGCTTCGGATGTGGCGCAAATAATTTTTTTTTCACAATTGCAATGGAAAAATAATTAGTTCAAATGATGAAGAATTGCGTTTGTCGTAAATAAGTAACTGCTCACCGCGAAAGTCTTGCATCAATGAATATGGAATAATATGTTCCTCATAGACCAAATGAGTATTTTATTGCATCTATGAATTCTGCTTTCAATCGAACAGATATTCTTTTGCGGGATAGCGTGCCGCTGATAAATTGGATAATTACATGACGATCAATGTTCAATTGATTCAGAAGGATTGACTGATGATTATAAACTAACAGCCGTGGAATTCTGGAGGAGCTGACAATCGAAAAATCTTGCATTAAAAACGGTTCAAAATCAATTTCGCAAAGGCAAATCAGTAACTCAATTGAAGTGTTGGGCTCATACACTCAATAAGGGAGGAACTTACAGAGAAAAAAAAGGCCGCATTTGCCAGTTCGTTCAGAAAATTTTAAAAACTCCGTTGAAGCGGGACACATTATACATGATATAGATTTGTAAAGATGGACTTTGCAAGCCCGGAAAGATATTGGGCATGAGGATATTCGTTTCAAAGCATCCTCACATTGGGTGAAAAATTTCAAACGAGTCCATAGAATTGTAAGCAGAAAAATTAATCAATTCATTACAAAGAAAACACTTGAAGGTGCAGACTATTTGCAACAAATAGCAGATAATTTTGTCTCTGATATCAAGCAATTAATTATGGATAGAGGTTCGGAAAATATTTTCAATTCAGACCACAATGGTTTCCAGTTAGAAATACATTCTAGACGGACCTTAGCAGTTCAAGCGGAACACCAAATTCAATTATTAGTGCAGTCAGTCTCATCCGTAACTCATGGTTATACCATTCAGCCTTTGATTTCAGCTGTTGGGAAATTGCTGTCATCATTTTTCATCGTGTTGAAGGAACGGACCAGTGAATTTGGATCGGTCGTAAAGAAGGATTTATTCATGCCTTTTAACGTATATCTCATGCCTTTTCAAATCCGGGAAACTTACTTCAGGTATGGATAAATCAATATAATTTTACTATGACTGAACACTGATCTTTCGAAATTCATCAAAATATCAACGTTCTGCCGTTGTAAACGAAGTTACTCCTCCTAACAAGAAAATTATCATAAAATTAATTCCGAAAGGTTCCACGGGAAAAATTCAACTCCTAGATGTGTTTGGTTTTAGACAATGGAAAGATTATGTAAGATATTTTTCGGATAGTGTGATGTTGATGAACGAGGAATTGAATCTTCATTTGAAGAATAATATCATCAAACTTAAACTTAAAATCGTTAGTTTATAGCGCATTTTCATCTCTACGATATGTAGATTTGTTTACATTCTCATGGTATAAAAGTGGTTACATCAGCAAAAAACCCGAATATTTTGATAACCCTGTTGAATTCGGATTTCAAAAAAATTCCAATGTTCACTGTGAAGTAAAGGGTTGTTCGAATATAGCAATTGTCAGATATTCTTAATGTAAATATCATTATGTCTGAAGCATTTCTTCGATAACTATCATTAAACACACATTATGAACCTTAAGGGTATTATGGCGGGGGCCATAGCTGGAAAAAAAAAGCAGAGAATTCAATGGAAATTGCTGAACCGATTATTCGATCCATTTAAAAGCCGTGTGCCAAATGTCAAAACCCCTACTTAAACAATAATTATGGGAATTCATAATCTCATCTGTCAGTTGTTTGTGTGATTCAAACGACGAAGGTTTTGGGAATACATCTGCTAACTGATCCTTAGATCTGATCCATTTAACTGTTTTAAATCCTCTTTTCTGACATTCTTTTATGTGATGAACTTTGGTTTCAATAACGTGTCTCAACTTATTACCTCCACTAGTCTCAGCATTAACTATTGCAGCTCTATTATCACACCATAAAACCATCGGAAGTGGGGGTTCAATCAGAATCAGTCTTAAGGAATTATAAATCAAAAGCATCTCCTGAGTCGCCTCGCTCATCGCTACACACTCAGCCTGACAGGTGGACAGAGCCACATATATTTGTTTATGAGTACGCCCGATTATAGTGTCTCCAAATAATTTAATCAAAAACCCACAAGTAGTTAACGAATTCTTACAATCCGCGAAACTACCGTCTGAGTAACTTTGTATATCATCTAACTCACCTGTATCTTTCAAACCTAAAGAGTTTGTCCCTCTCAAATATCTAAATACTCTCTTCACCATCATCCAAT